AGTACCATGTTTTAGGTCCACGGGACAGGGTGTCCCATTAAGATTAGATTCGTTTCCTCAATAAAGAAACTTGTCGCTCATTGACCCGATGGGCAGCAGCTGAGTTAATCTCCTCTCTTGTTCGCGCGCGGCATACCGTACGCATTGTTCTCGGCGTAGTCGCTCGTGTCGAATCTTTCGATGGAGCGTTTCATATCCTCGTAAATATCGTCGCATTCGACAAAATAGATCAGACTGTCCGTGTCTGTGTTCATTTCTTTACAAACACCGCGATATAACGGCACCATATAATCGTAGTGAAACTCGTACAATCGCGTTTTCGATATCTCCAAGAGTGACATGCCAACGTATATCGGTTTATTGAGCTTCACCTCGAGTTTCCGTAACTCGACGGCCATCAGATTCTCCGAGAAAACGCTTCTGGTGTGAAAATTCGGTCTAGAAATTAGCGCTTCCGCTCCATACCTTCCCTCCCAACGCGTCACAAGACGCACGTCAACGTGCTCGCGCACGTCTACGTTGATTCTGTAACATACAAATATAAAATTCATTAAAGCAGTGTTCAAGAAAATTAATATTGCAAAATATAAGTAATTTTTACGGGTAGGGTAAATGTTTACCTCATAGTGTCTTATAAGAGTCAACGACAATCCCGTAATGGCTCAAGAATTTAATCTATCTGTCAGCCCTGAAATGGAAAAGGTAGCGGCTAGAATTTTATCTCCTCCAGATTTGAAATATAGAGATCCCAACCGCCCGGTAGAAGTGAGGAGAGGAACGTGGAATTTGCAACATTTTAATGAAGCCAGACATTTGGAGGATTATTCATGGACTATTGTCAATTTGAGTGGAAAACCAATTGACCCTCTTATGCAAACTTTCTCTAAAACATTGCAGAGCACTGCACGTGATGTTGGTATGAATATTGGACAGCCCCTTACTCCATTTAAAAGTTTTAGACTAAATAATTTAAATGATATCACAAAGTACTTCAGCCAGAATAGCAAATTAAAATTGATAGTAGTTATCATACCTGATGGTACAGACATAATGTATGGTAAAGTAAAGAAGATTACCGAGATGGAAGTAGGTGTTTTGACACAGTGTTTGAAGTTTAAAACCTTAAAAAAACTAGACTCATCCAGACCACAGTTTGCGACAGTAAAAAACATACTACTAAAAATAAATTCCAAACTAAATGGCATCAATCATACATTTACTAAAATGCCATTTTGTTTAAATGAACCTTGTATGCTTGTTGGTGCTGATGTGACTCATCCATCTCCGGATTCTAAAAATATACCAGCCGTAGCAGCGGTTGCAGCAAATAATGATAAGTCAGCCTTCCAATATAATGTTGCACTTAGACTTCAACAACCCAAAGAAGAAATAATTAGGGATCTTAAGGACATAATACTATCACAACTTGCATTTTATGTACGTGAAACAAATTGTGTCCCGAAGAGAATCATATATTATCGAGACGGCGATACATCCGCCGAAACATTGGTCCTTACACATTTCCTTGCTCTTATGCTTGGCGCGCTGAGTTAATTCCGTGAGATATTCGTTTTTCCATCGATTCCAGAAATCTCGCTTTAATTTTTGAAGATGTTGCCATTGTGAGAGTCTGTTTGTAGCTACGTCAGTAAAATTTACGTCTGGAATTGACGAAAGTAATCCACCAATCAAAAAATGACTCGGAGTTAGTACATTTAAATCAGTTGGATCAGATGACAAGGGTGTTAATGGTCTGGAGTTCAGTATTGCCTCGATCTCGATAATGAGTGTGTTGAATTGTTCATAAGAGAAAAGTGTATCTTTGGCTACGCGATGTAAATGATGCTTAAAAGACCGAACTGCCGCCTCCCAAATTCCTCCAAAATGAGGGGATCGTGGGGGAATAAACTTCCAAGATACCTCCTGATCGCTTAACCACCTTGTCACCGCCTCCTTGTACGGTTGAGTCTTAATATATTCGTGAAGCTCCCGCAATTCATTTCTTGCGCCTACAAAATTCGTGGCATTGTCAGACATTATAATGTTCGATTTGCCTCTTCGACTAAAAAATCTCTTAAGAGCAGCTGCCGTGTTCAGCCATTTTAGACGCTTGGCTGCCGTGTTCAGCCGCGTCGTTCGAGATTGTACTCGAGGAGCCAGATACGACCCCGTCAGGGTCCTCCGCACCCGTTGCTCTTTCGTTCATGCGCGCACGCAGCCCCAGGCCATCCGAGAACCCGGGATAATAATCTTTCATAACTTGTCTATCCATTATTAACTGCGTGTTGGGGAGCTATAAAGGCTTCCGTGGTTAAGTCGCTTATAAGCTCCAAATGGATTGCCTTGGATGCAAGACAAACAAAAACTGAAACATAAACCTTAATCTTATTCTTATTGCGATGAGTTTTCTCCTTTATCCAAAAAGGTCCGCTATAATCAACGCCCGCGTTTACAAATGGTCGTGAACATTCGAATCTTTCCTTCGGAAGATTGCCCGTGACATAGTCTCTCATTTTCGGTTTTGCTCTAAAACAGGTTATACATTCATGGATGAGTTTCTTAATGCGATTTTTGCCACGTATTGGCCAGTATTTTTGTCTAATATGGTACAAAGTGGCTTGAAGGCCGGCATGCAGTTGTGAATTATGAGCGTCTCGTGATTAATGATTAAATCTGTTACGTGACGATTCTCCGGCAAAATAATTTGATGTTTTTTGTCATAATTCAACTCTGCATGTGTTAATCTACCGTCTACACGCATCAATCCTTCAGAGTCTAAGAAGGGACATAACGGTATGAGGTTACTACCTTCCTTTAGCGTCTTTCCTGTTTCTAATCGACGAATTTCATTTGCAAAGGACTCGATTTGAACCAGTTTGACAATAGTGTTCATTGCTTGATTTAATTCATAAGTGGCTAAACTTCCATGACTTTTGGTTTTTGAACGACAATTTTTTATAAATCTGAGACACCATGCCACCACTCTACGAAGTGTTGTTATCGAGGAAAACTGTTGTAGCAGATTTAATCCTTGCTCAGTCTTCAGGATAATTGCTGCTCGCTGTTCAGGAGTCTCGCTCAGTGTTGGATGGGAATTAGGCCATTCAGTTCTGTCACTTGCAAGCCATGTGGGGCCTCTGATCCATAGTGTACTATCCGCAAGTTCCGCGGCTGAGAGTCCTCTCGATATCAAATCAGCTGGATTATCCTGTGATGAAATGTGTCTCCACTCGAATTGCGCATTGATTTCTTGAATGGCAGCAACTCGATTCGCTACAAATGTTTTTAACTGAGTGTTTACCTCAAAGTTGTTTTGTCGGCGCCCGACGTCTTTCCTAGGCCTCTTCCTCCACTCAGATTGTTCTCCGACATCGTCACGGAGACGCAAACACGGTCTTTCGCGCGATTCTACACTCTCGTTTGTAAAGCCCATGTGAAAGTGTATTGAAATTCTTTCGATTTCGCCTTCAACAGAGGCTCCACTCAGACTGTCCTCCGACATACTGACACCTCCCCTATCTCCGCTTCTCTCTCCAATAGGTCCCTCGCCGCTCTCTTCACTCTCCACATCCTATCCTCTCTGTTTTTTCCCTCTACTTCTCTCCATACCATTCTCCTTGGAAGAAGATGAAGTTTCCACGAAATAAAAAATATTTACCTCAAGGTTGTTTTGTCGGCGCCCGATGTCTTTCCTAGGTCTCCTCCTCCTCTCAGGTTGTTCTCCGACATCGTCACGGAGACGCAAACGCGGTCTTTCGTGCGATTTTACACTCCCGTTTGTAAAGCCCATGTGAAAGGTTTTTTTTTAATTCGTCTGGAACGGAGGCTCCACTCAGACCATCCTTCGACATACTGACATACGCAAATACAGTATTTCGCGCGATTCTACTCTTGATGAGTACCACGTTTTAGGTCCGCGGGACGGGGTGTCCAATTATGATTAGGTAGATTCGTTACCTCATTAAAGGATCTATTTATTTACCAACCCGATGAGCAGTAGCGGAGTTTGTATAGTTTCGTGTTAATATGTTAAAATATGTAAATAACTAACAAGGGACCATTTCAACGTTGATTCTAAAGTTAATCCCAGTCCACGAATCCAATGATAAAACTGATTTAGGACCAACGTTTGGAAAATAAACCTCTCTCAGCCAAATTTCAAAATGATGTGAAGTTAATTTTCCAGATTTTGAGGCCAAAACATAAAGATTACTCTCTCTAAATATTGTTTTTGAATTCGCGGACCGAATGATCCAGTGGGTTCTTTTAAAACGATGAATAGAGGCAATAATAATCTACCATTGCCTGATATTGTTGGTTGAATCGTATAACTATGTGTAGTTGCCGATATCGATTGTACCGTATATTCTATCTTTTTTGACCCTGTAATTGCTTAAGAACGACCACTATGACATTCTAAGTGGAAACCGCTTTGATCAGAATTATGTAGATTTTCATATCCATAACGCGTAATATAATATTTAACATTTTCAATAAAAATATTACTTTCCGCTTCGAGAACATCTTTTGATACTAAAGTCTTTTTCTAATAAATTTTGTGATTTTTCGGGATACAATATTGTGCGCTATTTTAAACTTTCTTAACCATGTGGCCGATGCTTCAAATTCTGTTAAATTAATCTCTTTTTTTTTGCTTTAGGGCCCATCGAACAAATACGTTGATTCTGTAACATACAAATATAAAATTCGGTAAAGCAGTGTTCAAGAAAATTAATATTGCAAAATATAAGTAACTTTTACGCGTAGGGTAAAAAATATTTACCTCAAAGTGGTTTTGTTGGCGCCCGATGTCTTTCCCAGGTCTCTTCCTCCACTCAGATTGTCCTCCGACATACTAATGGATACGCAGATACGGTAATTCGCGCGATTCTACTCTCGATGAGTACCATGTTTTAGGTCCACGGGACGGGGTGTCCCATTAAGATTAGATTCGTTTCCTCAATAAAGAAAGGCGTGTCGCGAGCACGGCGCAACGCTCGATGTGCAAAAGTACACACGCACTGTCGTTAATTACACCAGGGCGAACAACAATCCGCGCACAGAACACTCGTACAGGCACCACAGAAAGCACGTCGGGGAAGCCCCTCCGTGACACCGACGACAACGTCGAGATGGCGGAGCAGAGACGGCGAATAAAGGCGTCCCCGCACGTAGGGCGCATCCGCACCATAGGTCAGAGATGGCATTCGCGCGATTGGCCCCCCCGTGACGCCACGGCATTGGCCAGCCACTCCGAGCGCACGAAATGGCGGCGAATATCTCAAAATGGCGGCGAATATCTCAGAATGGCCGAAAGAAGATCCATCAGCCACCACGCGCGATACTCATCGGCGAACCAGGAACGAACCAACTCGTGTCGGAGCATGCGCGTCAGAAAAGATGCCCGCCAAATACAACAGTGTCCAGGGACGGAGCAAACACGTGCGCGACAGTCCTCGAAACGACGAGTCAAGTTACAGAGCGTAATCCTGTAGCAATAAAATAGCTTCTGAACGTTTAACTTTTTAATTTACATAATTTAACACCTCCTTTAACGTTCGCGACGCGAGATACTCTAGCGGTAGCGAAAACGAGACACAAAATAAGTCGATTCGCTAAGTTTGCGGCTGATATTGACATAAATTTATCATGTATCTCGGTAACGCCGCTGTCCCCGCTGCCGTTCTTTTTAAGAGAGGTGTGCAACGACGGATACTTGAATTTAAAACGGTCGGAAGTGAGGAAGCGCGTCCGGATCGAGATTTCATATTTTAACCTGAAGGTGTAACCACACGTGTGGCATCGCTTCTGATCGTTTAACTTAAAAATTTATATTTTACATCTGTCCTAACGTTTGCAACGCTTCGCGATGCAAGTTACTCGAGCAGTAGGGAAATCAAGGTAGAAAATAGGTCAATTTTCTAAGTTTGCTGCTAATATCAGCATACATTCACATGTATCACTGTAACGTGGCTATCCCCAATGCCGAGAAATATTCATCGTTGTTTATAAGTAATTCATATGCGTAGGGTGAAAAAATATTTACCTCAAAGTTGTTTTGTCGGCGCTTGATGTCTTTCCCAGGTCTCTTCCTCCACTCAGATTGTCCTCCGGCATACTGATGGACACGCAAATACGGTAATTCGCGCGATTCTACTCTCGATGAGTACCATGTTTTAGGTCCACGGGACGGGGAGTTCCATTATGATTAGATTCGTTTCCTCAAAAAAGAAACTTGTCGCTCATTGATCCGATGGGCAGCAGCTGAGTTAACTACGTTGATTCTGTAACATACAAATCTAAAATTCATTAAAGCAGTGTTCAAGGAAATTAATATTGCAAAATATAAGTAATTTTTACGTGTAGGGTAAAAAATATTTACCTCAAAGTGGTTTTGTCGGCGCCCGATGTCTTTCCCAGGTCTCTTCCTCCACTCAGATTGTCCTCCAACATACTGATGGACACGCAAATACGGTAATTCGCGCGATTCTACTCTCGATGAGTACCATGTTTTAGGTCCACGGGACGGGGAGTCCCATTATGATTAGATTTGTTTCCTCAATAAAGAAACTTGTCGCTCATTGACCCGATGAGCAGCAGCTGAGTTAGCTACGTTGATTCTGTAACATACAAATATAAAATTCGGTAAAGCAGTGTTCAAGAAAATTAATATTGCAAAATATGAATAATTTTTACGCGTAGGGTGAAAAAATATTTATCTTAAAGTTGTTTTGTCGGCGCACGACGTCTTTCCTAGGCCTCTTCCTCCACTCAGATTGTCCTCCGACATACTGACAGACACGCAAATACGGTAATTCGCGCGATTCTACTCTCGATGAGTACCATGTTTTAGGTCCACGGGACGGGGTGTCCCGTGGACCATCCCATTATGATTAGGTAGATTCGTTAGCTCAATAAAAAAACTGTTCACTTACCAACCCGATCGGCAGCAGCAGAGTTTGTATAGTTTTGTTGTTTCCGTATAAACATACAAATATAAAATTTATATTAAAGCAGTGTTTAAGAGCACTAACATTGCAACATGTACTCGTGCCAAAACCACTGTTTTCGGTGTTTCGAGACATAAGAAAACTAGGGGTTCACTCTGGTTCTGCAACGGGGTACCTAACCCTCCACATTGAAATTCGCGACCGCTCCCCTTTGATAGATGAAATATATAAAATAAAATATGAAATTATGTTGTAATTTATCCATTTTAAGGTAACGGATCTACAGAATGTATTAATCTATGGTCTACAATCTACGATGTACAATCTACGATCTGCGTTCTATGAGATATAGATTTGTTACCTCAATAAAGAGTGGCCGTGTCAGCCCTGCACCTGGGCTGGGTGCCAATATCCAGACTAATAATAATAATCTGAATAAAGAAATTTGTCGCTCATTGACCCGATGAGTAGCATCTGAGTGCTGCTA